CATCCGTTAAAAGAGGTGTCGTTGTGAGATCTTGAGCATTCGCAGCGGCCGTAGGCGTAGGAACATTTCAAAAAGTGGGGGAGAGGCCAGGCTTGGTGTGCTTCAGGAACTTTTTCTGGAAAGAGAGCCCGATGACCGGGGGGGGGGGGCGGCGGGGGTAGGGATGGAGATTGTTATCGCTCTATATTCAAATGTCATGGCTGCTATGCTAGCTGTGCATCTTGAGCTGTTTATCACTGGTGCACAATCTTGCCTATTCGACTCATCTGTCATTTGGCAAATAAAGCTATCCAGCTTCCGTAGATTATCTGTTCACTTTAACATTGTCTTTCCTGGGGAGAAGGAATTCACGAGCAGGTAGGTATTTTGGGTCATTAAGGAAGCATTTGCCTTCACAATAGAGATGCCAAATACGGTCTGGATAAAGGCTGGTGAGAGTTTTGAAAGTCGATCGATGGCTCACAGTGCGCCAGTTGCATTTTGAGGTCAATAAGTGGCAGAAGTCAGGCGTTGAACGACTGCATGGAAGAAATCACCGGCGCTGTTAATTTACAATGATTAGCTGACTCTTTCTATACCGGTAGAATTCAGAAGCCTTGTCAATTTGTTATCTAGTTCTACAGACATTGAGGACATCGCGAGGTAGACTGAAGATCAATATGTTTGATCCAAATTTGAAGACGAAAATTTCATTGCAAATCGTGTGGTCAACAATGTGTATTAACATGGCCAAGCCATGTTTGTCTGAAAATGTTCGCCATTCAGTCAGAATCGATTAGTGATACAATTCATGTAATGTATTTTTTAACATGCCCGTTCGCGAATCTCAGCAACAAAAACCTCGACACCAGGCGTTGCAGTCTCCATAGTCCGCGGAGCGGACAAAAGTAGCTAAGTAGCTAAAGTAGCTAGACCCAGTAGCTAAAATGTAGTCGTGACCCACCGGTGGGCGAAAATGATGACGCTTCTGAAATGATTTTCTGTAACACTTTAACCGACTAAATATAAGTTATGCGACGTAATTTTGAGCATGCGCACTTAAAAGTTTATTTCAAAATTTCACACACATGATTTCACACACATGAAAATTTTAGAAACACAACCCTAACACCAGGCGTTGCAGTCTCCGCGGCCGCGCAGCGTTGGCCCAGCAGCTAATATTAAGTTGTGGACAAGGGGTCTACGAAAATGACGACGCTTCTGAAAAAGTATCGTTGGACGCTCATGACATCAGATCTTGTATTAAGAGGTAGTCTGAGGGCATATTTCACGCTTGCATTTTTAGATTGTGGAAATGAAGACAACGATTGCCCCTTAAAGC